GGGGTTCTGGCAGTTTTGGGGGTCCCGTGTGAATTTTGGGTTTTTTTGGGGTCCCCAATTTTGTGTCCCCCCCCAGCTGAGTGACCTGTGGGAGGAGCAGCTGCATTTGGGGGCTCGGGGACCCCTCCCCACCACGGGCAGCTACTACCTCATGGTGAGACCCCCGAAATTGGGGACCCCCCCAAAAAACCCCCAAATTCTGAGAACTCCCCAAAAACTCCAGGAAATTGGGGGACCCCAAAACTCCCCCAGACCCAATTTGGGCTTCTGGGAGGGGTCCTTGGGGTCTTTTCCCCCCAATTTGGGGTTTTGGGGGGTGGGTGAGGATCTGACCCCCCCAAATTTGGGGTTCAGTTTTTGGGGTGCCCCCCCAGGTCCTTTTGGGGTCTCTTCCCCTCAATTTTTAGGGTTCTGACCCCCAAATTTGGGGTTCAGATTTTGGGGTGCCCCCCCAGGTCCTTTTGGGGTCTCTTCCCCTCAATTTTTAGGGTTCTGACCCCCAAATTTGGGGTTTTTGGGGGGTGGGTGAGGGTCTGACCCCCCAAATTTGGGGTTCTGATTTTAGGGGTGCCCCCAAAAATTTTGGGGTCCCTTCCCCTCAGTTTTAGTGGCTTTGGGGGTCCTTTGTCCCCCATTTTTGGGGGTTTTACCCCCCCCCCAAATTTGGGGTTTTTGGGGGGGGGGTGAGGGTCTGACCCCCCCCAAATTTGGGGTTCTGATTTTAGGGGTGCCCCGAAAAATTTTGGGGTCCCTTCCCCTCAGTTTTAGTGGCTTTGGGGGTCCTTTGTCCCCCATTTTTGGGGGGTTTTCCCCCCCCCCCAAATTTGGGGTTTTTGGGGGGGGGGTGAGGGTCTGACCCCCCCCAAATTTGGGGTTCTGATTTTAGGGGTGCCCCGAAAAATTTTGGGGTCCCTTCCCCTCAGTTTTAGTGGCTTTGGGGGTCCTTTGTCCCCCATTTTTGGGGGGTTTTCCCCCCCCCCCAAATTTGGGGTTTTTGGGGGGGGGGTGAGGGTCTGACCCCCCCCAAATTTGGGGTTCTGATTTTGGGGTGCCCCCCCAGGACATTTTGGGGTCCCTTCCCTCCAATTTTTAGGGTATTTGGGGCACTTTTTGGGGTTTTACCCCCCAAATTTGGGGGTTTGCCCCCCAAATTTGGGGTTTTTGGGGGGTGGGTGAGGGTCTGACCCCCCCCAAATTTGGGGTTCTGATTTTGGGGTGCCCCCCAGGTCCATTTGGGGTCTCTTCCCCATCATTTTTGGTGGGCTTGCCCCCCATTTTTAGGTTTTTTGGGGGTTTTGCCCCCCCAATTTGGGGTTTTTGGGGGGTGGGTGAGGGTCTGACCCCCCAAATTTGGGGTTCAGATTTTGGGGTGCCCCCCCAGGACATTTTGGGGTCCCTTCCCCATCATTTTTCATGGGTGTGCCCCCCATTTTTGGGGTTTTTGGGGGTTTTACCCCCCAAATTTCGGGTCTTGGCCCCCCTAATTTGGGATTTTGGGGGGTGGGTGAGGGTCTGACCCCCTAAATTTGGGGTTCAGATTTTGGGGTGCCCCCCAGGTCCATTTGGGGTCCCTTCCCCATCATTTTCCATGGGTGTGCCCCCCATTTTTAGGTTTTTTGGGGGTTTTACCCCCACAATTTCAGGTTTTGCCCCCCAAATTTGGGGTTTTGCCCCCCAAATTCGGGTGTTTGGGGGGTGGGTGAGGGTCTGACCCCCCAAATTTGGGGTTCTGATTTTGGGGTGCCCCCCCAGGACCTTCTGGGCCCCTCCCCCACGCGGGTCCCGGCCGCCCGCGCCGCCAACGTCGCCTTCGCCTTCCTGCGCTTCCGGAGCCTCGTCCGGGGGGGGTCCCTGCCCCCCGTGAGCCCCCCGAAATGGGGAGGGGTGGGGGGTCCCCGCGGCCGAAATTTGGGCTTTAAAGAGGAATTTTGGGGTTTAGAGAGGGAATTTTGGGGTTTAAAGAGGGAAATTTGGGGTTTAAAGAGGGAAATTTGGGGTCTAAAAGGGGAATTTTGGGGGTCCCGGCGGGCATTTGGGGTCCCCCAGGGGGGAAATTTGGGGATTAAAAGGGGAATTTTGGGGTTTAAAGAGGGAAATTTGGGGTTTAAAGAGGGAAATTTGGGGTAGACCCCCAAAACCCCCCCTGAACACCCCAACCCCCCCCAAATCCCTTTTGGGACCCCCAAAATCTCCCTGTGGGATTTGAGGGGGGGTCCCCCTGACGTGCCCCTCTCTCCCCCTTTCCCCCCAGACCACCTGAGGCATTTTGGGGGGGGGTCTCACCTGGCCGTGCTTTTTGGGGGGCGCCTCTTCCGGGTGCCCCTCAGGGCGGGCGGGGGGCGGCCCCTGAGCCCCCCCGAGCTCCAGGGGCAGTTCCAGAAGGTTCTGGAGCAAAAAGGGGAGGGGGGACCCCCCCCCGAGACCCCCGCGGTGCTGACGGCCGGGGACAGGTGAGGGGGGGGATTTGGGGGGAATTTTGGGGGGTTTTGGGGCATTTTGGGGGGATATTGGGTGGATTTAGAGGATTTTGGGCATTTTGGAGGTAATTTAGGGCATTTTGGGAGGGATTTGAGGGATTTTAGAGAGGATTTGGGAGATTTTGGGACGGATTTTGGGAGGGATTTGGGGGATTTTGGAGGGGATTTGAGGGATTTTGGGAGGATTTGGGGGATTTTGGGACGGATTTTGGGGATTTTGGAGGGGATTTGAGGGATTTTAGGGGGGATTTTGGGGATTTTGGAGGGGATTTGAGGGATTTTGGGAGGGATTTGAGGGATTTTAGGGCGGATTTGAGGGATTTTGGGATATTTGGGTGGAATAAAAGGAGTTTGAGGGGATTTTGGAGAATTTTGTGAGGGAATCGGGGAGGATTTGGGGGGATTTGAGGTAACTTTGGGGGGATTTGGGGGGATTTGGGAGGGCTTTGGGGGAGATTTGAGGAGTTTGGAGAAGATTTGGTGCAATTTGGGGGGGATTTGGGGGAAACTTGTGGGATTTGGGGAGGATTTGGAGCATTTTGGGCTATTTTTGGGGCATTTTTGGGCCATTTGGGGTATTTTGAGGATATTTTTGAGCTCTTTGCTGTATTATTTGGGGTATTTTGGGGTATTTTTTTTGGGTATTTTTGGGGTCCCTGATGAAGTTTTGGGGTCCCCAGGTGCCCCTGGGCGCGGGTGCTGCTGGTGGGCGAGGGGGGATTTGGGATATTTTGGGATATTTTGTGTTATTTTTGGGATATTTTGGGTTATTTTGTGTTATTTTGTGTTATTTTTGTGTTATTTTTGGGTTATTTTTGGGATATTTTTGGGGTCCCCAGGTGCCCCTGGGCGCGGGCTGGGGCATTTTTGGGGATTTCAGGGGATTTTGAAGGAGATTTGGGGTATTTTGTGCTATTTTTGGGATATTTTGTGATATTTTTGGGGTCCCCAGGTGCCCCTGGGCGCGGGCGCTGCTGGTGGCCGGGGGGTTTTGGGGTATTTTGTGTTATTTTTGGGATATTTTGGGATATTTTTGGGGTCCCCAGGTGCCCCTGGGCGCGGGCGCGGGCGCTGCTGGTGGCCGGGGGGGGTGCTTTGGTGGAGTTTGTGCGGGGGGGGGATTTGGGGGAAACTTGTGGGATTTGGGGAGGATTTGGAGCATTTTGGGCTATTTTTGGGGCATTTTTGGGCCATTTGGGGTATTTTGAGGATATTTTTGAGCTCTTTGCTGTATTATTTGGGGTATTTTGGGGTATTTTTTTTGGGTATTTTTGGGGTCCCTGATGAAGTTTTGGGGTCCCCAGGTGCCCCTGGGCGCGGGCGCGGGCGCTGCTGGTGGCCGGGGGGGGTCCCAGCCTGGCGGCCCTGGGGGTCCTCGAGGACGCCCCCTTCGTCGTCGCCTTCGACCCCTCCCCCAACGGGGACCCTCCCCAAAATGGGGACCCCCCCAAAAACGGGGAACCCCCCCCCGAGGAGCGAGACCCCCCCCAGGATGGGGACCTGGACAACGAGGCCAAGGCGCTGCTGCTGGGACCCCCCCACAACCGGTCAGAGACCCCCAAAATCGCCCCAAAATCCCTTCAAAATCCCCCAAAATTCCCCTGGGAACACCTAAACCCACCCCACAACCGGTCAGAGACCCCCAAAATCCTCAAAATTCCCCCAAAATCATCCCAAAATAACCCCAAAATCGCCCCAAAATCCCCATGGGTACCATCTAAACCTCTCCACAACCGGTCAGAGACCCCCATAATCCCCCCAAAACCTCCCCAAAATCCACTTAAAACACCCCAAAATTCCTCTGGGAACCCCAAATCCCCCATAGCCAGTCAGAGACGCCCAAAATCCCAAAAAATCCCCCCAAAATTGCCCCAAAATCCCCCTGGAAACACCTAAACCCCCTCCAGGTGGTCAGAGAGCCCCCAAAATTTCCCAAAACTGCAACTGGATCCCCCAAATCTCCCAAAACCCAACCCAGGATCCCCAGGGGAGACTTTGGGGGGGTCTTGATGGAAGTTTTGGGGGTCCCAGGGGGAGTTGGGGGGTCCAGGGTGGATTTTGGGGTGTCCTGGAGGATTTTGGGACCCCCCTCCCCAGGTGCTTCTTGGAGCTGTTTTGGGGACATTCTCGGAGTTTTGGGAGGGGTTTTGAAGGGTTGGGGATATTTTGGGTGCTCGGGGATATTTTGGGGGGTCCCAGGGTGGGATTTTGGGGAGTTTTGGGCCCCCCAGGACCCCCCGTGTCCCCACAGGTGGTTCGACAAGTCGCTGACGTTGGTCGTGTTCCCCTCGGGGCGCGTCGGGCTCAGCGTGGAGCACTCGTGGGGAGACCCCCCCGTGGCTGGGCACCTCTGGGAGGTACCCCGAAAATCCCCCCAAAAATCCCCCCAAAATACCCCAAATCCCCATAAAAACCCCCTCCAAAATACCCCAAATCCCCCCAAAAATCCCCCCCAAATTCACTCAAAAATCACCCCAAAATCCAGGACATGCCACCATGGTTGAGGACCTCTGAGAGGTATCCCAAAAATACCTCAAAATCACCCAAAAATATCCCCCCAAATTCCACCAAAATTCATCCCAAAATCCCCCCCAAAATCCCTCTGAAAGTCCTCCCAAAATCCCCCAAAAATGGTGTCTGAAGTGCTCCTAAAATCACCCCAAAAATCCCCCCAAAATCACCTCAAAAAATCTTCGAAAATCTCCCAGAACTAGGGACTCCCCCAAAACCTCTGGAGACCTCCCCAAAATCCCCTCAAATCTGCGATCCCTCCCCAGTTTTGTGGGGAATTGCGGGCCCAAAATGGGGGAATGTGAGGGGAAAATGGCGGGGAGCATGAGGGGAGAAAAGGGCGGGAAAACGTGAGGGGAGAAAAGGGCGGGAAACGTGAGGGGAGAAAAAGAGCGGGAAATGTGAGGGGAGAAAAGGGTGGGAAACGTGAGGGGAGAAAATGGCGGGAAAACGTGAGGGGAGAAAAGGGTGGGAAAACGTGAGGGGAAAAGGGCATGAAACGATGGGAAAATTTTTGGGGAGGTGTCAGGGAAATTGGGGAGGGTCCCCAATTTTGGGACCCCCCCCTAATTTGCCCCCTTCAGTTTGCACTGGCCCTGGACCGGTCCCTGGGCTACGACGAGTCCGGGAGCTGCCTCGGGGCAGAGCAGGGCAGGACCCCCGAGCCCCCCCAGGAGCTGCACTGGGACCTCCCCCCGCAGGTACTGGGAGCACTGGGAGGGACTGGGAGAGCGTTTTTGGGGACGTTTTGGGGTATTTTAGGAATATTTTCGGGCAGGTTTCGGGGGTGCTGCCCCAGGCCCGGGAGCAGTTCCAGGCCATGGCTGAGGGGCTCCAGCTCCACGTGGTGTCGGTTGAAGCCCCCCCGGGACCCCCTGGGACCCCCGAGAGCTCCCAGGAGCTGCTGCCGCTGGCACTGGAGCTGGCGCTGGTCAGGGTGAGACACGGAGACCCCCAAAATTCACCCCTGGGACCCTCCAAACTCCATCCTAGAGACCCAAAATCTCCCCAAAATCCCCTCAGGAGCGCGGCCCCGCCCTCACGTTCGAGCCGATCCCGACGCGCATTTTCCTTGAAGGCTCCAAAACCCGCCTGAGACCCCTCAAATCCAACTGAGACTCCCCCAAACTCCATGCCAGAGACCCCAAAATCCCCCAGATTCCCAAAATCTCTCCAAAATCCCCTCAGGAGCGCGGCCCTGCCCTCACGTATGAGCCGATCCCGACGCGCCTTTTCCTCGAGGGCCGCGCTGACGGCGCACGCGGTGTGGGGCGCCCCCTGCTGGAGCTGGAGCGTGCCCTGAGGGACCCCCAAATCCCCGTGAGGAACCCCAAAAATGGGGCTGGGAACCCCAAAAATGGGACTGGGGACCCCAAAAATGGGGCTGGGGGATGCTGAGGGGTCACTGAGGGGGGTCTTGGTTTTGGGGGAGTGACTGGGGGTGTTATTTGGGGGTGGGAGATGTGAGGGGAAAAGGGCGGGAAACGTGAGGGGAAAATGGTGGAAAACGTGAGGGGAAAATGGTGGGAAATGTGAAGGGGAAAAGGGCGAGAAACGTGAGGGGGAAAAGGGTGGAAAACATGAAGGGAAAATAGTGGGAAATACGAGGGAAAATTGTGGGAAACGTGAGGGGGAAAAGGGCAGGAATGTGAGGGCAGAAAAAGGGTGGGAAACGTGAGGGGAGAAAATGGTAGAAAACGTGAGGGGGTTCTCTGGGGGCAGTTTGGGACAATCATTGGGAGGATTTTGGGGTGATTATTGGGGGTCTCTGGGGGGATTTTGGGGCGATCATTGGGGGTCTCTGGGGGATTTTGGGGTGATCATTGGGGATTTTGGGACATCATTGGGGGTCTCTGGGGGGATTTTGGGGCGATCATTGGGGATTTTGGGACATCATTGGGGGTCTCTGGGGGGATTTTGGAGCGATCATTGGGGGCATTTTGGGGTGATCAGTGGGGGTCTCGGGGGGATTTTGGGGTGATCTTTGAGGGTCTCTGGGGGGATTTTGGGGTGATTATTGACAGTCTCTGGGGGGATTTTGGGGTGATCATTGGGAGGATTTTGGGGCGATCAGTGGGGGTCTCGGGGGTCCCCCTAACCTGCAGTTCCCCTCTCTGCCCAGCGGGGGCGCCGGCAGGTGCTGCTGGAGGCGGCGCTGGCGCAGGCGCGGGGGCGGCGCCGGGCGGCCATGACGGGGGCGGGGCTGGAGCGGCACCTGCAGGCGCTGGCGGCCGTGGCCAATCAGATGCAGCTCCGCCCACCCTTCCTCACAGAGGTGGGCGGGGCTTTGGCTGGGTTGGGGGTGTGGCCTGAGAGGGGTGTGGTTTACATTGAGGAGGGGCGGGGCTTGGCTGGGTTTGCCATATAAGGAGATGGGTGGAGCTTGAGGGTAGGACCAAGGCTAAGGGGCGGGGCCTAACCCAGGATGGGGTGGAGCTTGACTAAGAATTGCCTTATAAGGAGGTGGGTTGGGCCAAGGAGGACCTGGTTTTGTCTTTATATGGTCAACAGGGTGTGGTCACAAAGGGCATGGCCTAAAGAGAGTCACAGTGATTGGCTGATGCATTGGGTGTGGGTGTGGTCTCATTTGCATGTTTCCACCCCCTAGGTCCTGGGGCAGCCTTGGGCTCTGGCCTTTAGCCCCGCCCCTCGGCCACACCCCCCACTGCTGCCCCACCCCCTGCGGCCTGCGGGGGGCGGCTTCAACCCGGTGGGTACTGGGGGGCACTGGGAGGGAACTGGGGGAGACTGGGAGGGACTGGGGGGACTGGGAGGGACTGAGCAGGGGGAATGGGAGGCACTGGGAGAGACTGGGATGAAACTGGGAGGGACTGGGGGAGACTGGGAGGGACTGGGGGGGAATGAGGGGCACGGGGAGGTTACTGGGATGAACTGGGATGAACTGGGGGGTCACTGGGAGGTTACTGGGATGAACTGGGAGGTTACTGGGATGAACTGGGGGTCACTGGTGCTGCCTGCCCCCCCAGCCCCACCAGGACGGGTACGGGGTTTCCTTCACCGGGGGAGGGGACGCCGGCCCCGTCCTCGTGCACATCTCCTGCAGGGAGGGGTCCCCAAAAACGGTGAGTGGGGGGTGACCAAACCCCCCCCAAAAAAACCCCAAACCCCCCCAAAACCTCCCTGAAAAAACCCCAAAATCCCACCCAAAACCTCATCCAAATAAAGCCAAAACCTCCCCCAAGTCCTCCCTGAAATTTCCCCCCAAAAAACCCCCCAAACCCCCCCAAAATCACTGGGGTTCTGGGGGGGTTTTGGGGGGTCTGGGTGGGTTTTGGGGGGGTCTGGGCATGGATTTGGGGGTCTGGGGGTGGATTTTGGGGGCCCCTGGAGGGTTTTGGGGGGTCCCTGAGCCCTCTCCCCAGGACCCCCGGTGGTTCTCGCGGCGGGTTTTGGGGTGGGTTTGGGTGGATTTTGGGGTGGATTTTGGGGGTCCCTGAGCCCTCTCCCCCCAGGACCCCCGGCGGTTCTCATGGTGGGTTTTGGGTGGATTTTGGGGGTTTTTGGGGTGGATTTTGGGGTGTATTTGGGACCCTCTCCCCTCATGACCCCCAGCGGCTCCTGGGGGTGGGTTTGGGTGGATTTTGGGGTGTATTTTGGGGGTCCCTGAGCCCTCTCCCCAGGACCCCCGGCGGTTCACACGGTGGGTTTTGGGTGGGTTTTGGGGGTTTTTGGGGTGGATTTTGGGGGTTTTTGGGGTGGATTTTGGGGTGTATTTGGGACCCTCTCCCCTCATGACCCCCAGCGGCTCCTGGGGGTGGGTTTGGGTGGATTTTGGGGTGTATTTTGGGGGTCCCTGAGCCCTCTCCCCAGGACCCCACTGGGGCCACTGGAACCGCCCGACCGCCATCGTCCGTCACGTGACCGGAACCAGCCACACAACCACCCGGAAGTGGGCGGAGCCCCCGCCGGAAGTGCCGTTTCCCCTCACGGCCAAGATGGCGGCGCGGCGCGGCTCCTCCAAAGCCCGAGCTCCGAATCGCCTGCGGGCCCCGAATCGCGACCGGCCCCGGGTCCGCAATCGCGACAGGGCGGACGCGGAGCCCCCCGGCCGCGTGTACCTGCCCGGGACGGGGCCGCCGCTGGGCCCCGACGAGGAGCTGGTGATGGATGAGGAGGCGTACGTGATGTATCACCGCGCCGGCACCGGTACCGCGGGCTGGGGGACCGGGATGAGGGGGCTGGAGGGGATGAGGGGAACCGGGGGGGTCCTGGAGGATTCTGAGGGGAACCGGGGAGATGAAGGGGTTGGAGAGGCTAAGGAGAACCGGGGGGTCCTGAGGGGAACCGGGGGAATGAGGGGAACCGGGTTGCTGAGGGGAACCGAGGGGGGTCCTGGAGGATCCTGAGGGGAACCGGGGGGTCCTGAGGGGAACCGGGGGGGTCCTGTGGGGTTCCTGAGGAGAACCGGGGTGTCCTGAGGGTAACCGGGGGAATGAGGGGAACCGGGGGGTCCTGGAGGATCCTGAGGGGAACCGGGGGGATGAGGGGAACCGGGGTGGCCTGAGAGGAACCGGGGAGCTGAGGGGAACAGAGATGTTTTGGGAGGAACCGGCGGAATGAGGGGAGCCGGGGGGTCCTGAGGGGATCCTGGAGGATCCTGAGGGGAGCCGAGGGATGAGAGGGTTGGAGAGGCTGAGGGGAACCAGGGGGTCCTGTGGGGTTCCTGAAGGGAACCGGGGGGTCCTGGGGGGTTTTGAGGGGAACCGGGGGGTCCTGAGGGGTTCCAGAAGGGAATGAGGAGGTTGGAGGAGGCACTGGTGTTAATGGGAGCGCACTGGGAGGGCAATTTGAGGGGGGATTTGGGGGGTTTGAAGGAGGATTTTGGAGGAGTTTGAAGGAGGATTCGGGGGGGTTTGAGGGAGGATTCTGAGGCTATTTTGGGGGTCTTCAAGGGAGGATTTTTGGGGGATTTTGAGGGGATTTTGGGAGGGTTTCAGGAGGATTTTGGGGGCGTTTGGGGGGATTTTGGGAGGGTTTGAGGGGTATTTTGGGATTTCAGGGAGGGTTTTGAAGGGGGGGATTTGGGGGGGATGTGAGGGAGGATTTTGGGGGGTTCCAACAGAGAACTTTTGGGGAGGTTTGAGGGCATTTTGGGGGGGTTTTGAGAGGATTTTGGGGGGATTTTGGGGACTTTGAGTGAGGATTCTGAGGGGTTTTTGGGGGGCTTCGGGTGAAGATTTTTGGGAGGATCTCGGGGGGTTTTGGGCAGGATTTTGGGGAGGTTTGAGGGAGGATTTTGGGGGGATTTTTGAGGGTGTTTGGGGGTGTTTGAGGGAGAATTTTAGGGGGATTTTGGGGACGTTTGAGGGGGGATTTGGGGGGGTTAAGAGAGGATTTTGGGGGAATTTTGGGAGGTTTAAGAGAGGATTTTGGAGGGGTTTGAGGGAGGATTCTGGGGGTTTTGAGGGAGGATTTTTGGGGGGGTTTTGGGAGGATTTTGGGGGGATTTTGGAGGGGTTTTAGGAGGTTTGAGGGAGGATTTTTGGGGAGGATTTTGGGGGGATTTGGGGCAGTTCAATGGGGCTTGGGGCATTTAGAGGGGGTCTGGGGCAGTTCGAGGGGACTTGGCGGGATTTGGGGCAGTTCAGGGGGATTTGGGGACATTTAAAGGGACTCTGGGGCAGTCCAAGGGAATTTGGGAGGCTTTAGAGGGGGTCTGGGGCAGTTCAGGGTCTGGGGCAGTTCAGGGTTTGCGGCAGTTCAGGCTCTGGGGCAGTTCAGGGTCTGGGGCAGTTCAGGGTCTGGGGCTTGGGGGGATTTTGGGGGATTTGAGGGAGGATTTTGGGGAGGTTTGAGGGGGGATTTGGGGGAGTGTGGGGGAGGATTTTGGAGGGTTTAAGGGAGGATTTTGAGGGAATTTTGGAAGGGTTTTGGGAGGCTTTGAGGGAGGATTTTTGGGGGGTTTGGGAGGATTTTGGGGGGGTTTGAGGGAGGATTTTTGGGGAGGATTTGGGGGGTTTTTGGGGTGTTCCGGGGTCTCTGAGCGCCCCCTCCCCAGGGTCGCCGTGCCTGAGCTTTGACGTGGTGCGGGACGGGCTGGGGGAGGGGCGCGAGGAGCCCCCGCTGTCGGTGCTGCTGTGCGCGGGAACCCAGGCCGAGACCCCCGGGGCCAACCGGTGAGACCCCCGGGACCCCCCCCCAAATTACACTGAGACCCCTGGGGCCCCCCCAATTACACTGAGACCCCCGGGACCCCCCCAAAAAATTACCACCAAACCATTGCAGTTTGCAGTTATTTAGTCTGCATTTTTACGACCACCCTCCCCACCCACTCATGGAGCTGTTTTCTACTTTGTAGTGCTCTCTCCCTGGCATACATAGAGAGTCGTTCCAAAACCCCAACCCCCTGGGGTGCCCTTATCTCCCCTCCCCCATTTTGTGTCCTCCCCCCCCCTCAATTTTGACTCCCCCCGTTCCTCACCCCCCCTCAGCCTGGGGTGGGTTTGGGGGGTTTTGGGTTTTTTTTGGGGCGGTTTTGGGGTTTTTTTTCAGGTGGTTTTTGGGGTGTTTTGGGCTGGGTTTTGGGGTGGTTTTGGAGCTTTTTTGGAGCAGTTTTCGGGTGGGCTTTGGGGTGATTTTTGGGTGTTTTTCAGGTGGGTTTTGGAGCGGTTTTCGGGATTGGTTTTGGGGTGGTTTTGGGGTTTTTTTCGAGCGGTTTTGGGGTGGGTTTTGGGTTTTTTTGGGGTGGTTTTGGGGTGATTTTGGGGTTTTTTTGGGTGGGTTTTGGGCGGTTTTGGGGTGAATTTTTGGAGTGTTTCTCGGGTGGTTTTAAGGATGGTTATTGGGGTGGGTTTGGGATGGGCTTTGGGGTGGTTTTTGAGTGTTTTTCAGGTGGGTTTTGGGACGGTTTTTGGGATTGGTTTTAGGGTGATTTTGGGGTTTTTTGGGGTGGGTTTTGGGGTGATTTTGGGTTTTTTTTGGGTGGGTTTTGGGGTTTTTTTTGGGGTGATTTTGGGGTTTTTTTGGGGTGGGTTTTGGGGTTTTTTTGGGGTGGTTTTCAGGTGGGTTGTGCGGTGGATTTTGGGGTGTTTTTCGGATGGGTTTCAGGGTGGATTTTGCGGTTTTTTGGATGGGTTTCGGGGTGGATTTTGGGGTGTTTTTCCAGTGTTTTTGGGGTGTCCCCAGCCCTGACTGGGGGTGTCCCCTCCCCCTCCAGGGTGCTGCTGCTGCAGATGCAAAACCTGCACGGGCTGCGGCGGGGGAAGGGCGGGGACAGCAGCGACAGTGACAGTGACAGCGACAGCGACAGCGACCAGGACGGGGAGGGCAGGGAGCCACAGCTGCTGCTCATCATGGCCCCCCACTACGGGGGCATCAACAGGCTGCGGGTATGGCACCCCCAAAAACAGCCCCCCAAAAAAACCCCACGGAAACCCTGCCTGGGAACCCAAAAACCCAACCTGGGAACCCCAAAAAACCCACCTGGGAACCCAAAAAAAACTCAAAAAGCCACCCTGGGAGCCCCAAAAAAACCCCACGAAAACCCTGCCTGGGAACCCAAAAACCCACCTGGGAACCCAAAAATTCACCCTGGGAACCCAAAAACCCACCGGGGACCCCAAAAAACTCAAAAACCCTGCCTGGGAACCCAAAAACCCACCCTGGGAACCCCAAAAATCGCCCTGGAAACCCAAAAACCCACCTGGGAACCCCAAAAAATTCCCAAAAAACTGAAAAATCCATCCTGAGACCCCAAAAACTCTACCTGGGAACCCAAAAACCCACCCTGGGAACCCCAAAACCCCACCATGACACCCCCAAAAAACCCCACTGACCTCCGAATACCCGCCCCAGGACCCCCAAAATCTTTCTGGGATTCTCCATATCACCTTGGGACCACCCCCTAAATTTCTCTGGGACCCTCAAAATTAAACTGTGAACCTCAAATAACCCTCGGGACCGCCCCTTAAACCCCCAAATAACCCTCGGGACCCCCCCAAAAAAACCCTTGGGATGCTCCAAGACCCCCATCTTGACGCCCCAAAACCCTTTGGGACCCCCCTCAGACCCCCCTGGGGACCCCCAAATCTCCCCCTGTGTCCCTCTCAAACCCCAACCCCCTGGGGTGCCCTTATCTCCCCTCCCCCATTTTGTGTCCTCCCCCCCCCTCAATTTTGACTCCCCCCGTTCCTCACCCCCCCTCAGCCTGGGGTGGGTTTGGGGGGTTTTGGGTTTTTTTTGGGGCGGTTTTGGGGTTTTTTTTCAGGTGGTTTTTGGGGTGTTTTGGGCTGGGTTTTGGGGTGGTTTTGGAGCTTTTTTGGAGCAGTTTTCGGGTGGGCTTTGGGGTGATTTTTGGGTGTTTTTCAGGTGGGTTTTGGAGCGGTTTTCGGGATTGGTTTTGGGGTGGTTTTGGGGTTTTTTTCGAGCGGTTTTGGGGTGGGTTTTGGGTTTTTTTGGGGTGGTTTTGGGGTGATTTTGGGGTTTTTTTGGGTGGGTTTTGGGCGGTTTTGGGGTGAATTTTTGGAGTGTTTCTCGGGTGGTTTTAAGGATGGTTATTGGGGTGGGTTTGGGATGGGCTTTGGGGTGGTTTTTGAGTGTTTTTCAGGTGGGTTTTGGGACGGTTTTTGGGATTGGTTTTAGGGTGATTTTGGGGTTTTTTGGGGTGGGTTTTGGGGTGATTTTGGGTTTTTTTTGGGTGGGTTTTGGGTTTTTTTTTGGGGTGATTTTGGGGTTTTTTTGGGGTGGGTTTTGGGGTTTTTTTGGGGTGGTTTTCAGGTGGGTTGTGCGGTGGATTTTGGGGTGTTTTTCGGATGGGTTTCAGGGTGGATTTTGCGGTTTTTTGGATGGGTTTCGGGGTGGATTTTGGGGTGTTTTTCCAGTGTTTTTGGGGTGTCCCCAGCCCTGACTGGGGGTGTCCCCTCCCCCTCCAGGGTGCTGCTGCTGCAGATGCAAAACCTGCACGGGCTGCGGCGGGGGAAGGGCGGGGACAGCAGCGACAGTGACAGTGACAGTGACAGTGACAGCGACCAGGACGGGGAGGGCAGGGAGCCACAGCTGCTGCTCATCATGGCCCCCCACTACGGGGGCATCAACAGGCTGCGGGTATGGCACCCCCAAAAACAGCCCCCCAAAAAAACCCCACGGAAACCCTGCCTGGGAACCCAAAAACCCAACCTGGGAACCCCAAAAAACCCACCTGGGAACCCAAAAAAAACTCAAAAAGCCACCCTGGGAGCCCCAAAAAAACCCCACGAAAACCCTGCCTGGGAACCCAAAAACCCACCTGGGAACCCAAAAACCCAAACTGGGAACCCAAAAAAACTCAAAAACTCACCCTGGAAACCCAAAAACCCTGCTTGGGAACCCAAAAAAACTCAAAACCCCTGTCTGGGAACCCAAAAACCCAACCTGGGAACCCAAAAAAACCCACCCTAGGAACTCAAAAACCCACCTGGGAACCCCAAAAAAACTCAAAACCCCTGTCTGGGAACCCAAAAACCCAAGGTGGGAACCCAAAAACCCAACCTGGGAACCCCAAAAACCCCGCCTGGGAACCCAAAAACCTACCCTGGGAACCCCAAAAATCGCCCTGGAAACCCAAAAACCCACCTGGGAACCCCAAAAAACCCACCTGGGAACCCAAAAATTCACCCTGGGAACCCAAAAACCCACCGGGGAACCCAAAAAACTCAAAAACCCTGCCTGGGAACCCAAAAACCCACCCTGGGAACCCAAAAAAACCCACCTGGGAACCAAAAAACTCACCCTGAGACCCCCAAAATTCATCCTAGGAACCCAAAAACCCACCTGGGAACCCAAAAAAAACCTCAAAAAGCCACCCTGGGAGCCCCAAAAAAACCCCACGAAAACCCTGCCTGGGAACCCAAAAACCCACCCTGGGAAGCCAAAAACCCAACCTGGGAACCCAAAAAAAACTCAAAAACTCTGCCTGGGAACCCAAAAACCCACCCTGGGAACCCAAAAACCCAAACTGGGAACCCCAAAAAAACTCATCGCCCTGGAAACCCAAAAACCCACCTGGGAACCAAAAAACTCACCCTGAGACCCCCAAAATTCATCCTAGGAACCCAAAAACCCACCCTGGGAACCCCAAAAAATTCCCAAAAAACTGAAAAATCCATCCTGAGACCCCAAAAACTCTACCTGGGAACCCAAAAACCCACCCTGGGAACCCCAAAACCCCACCATGACACCCCCAAAAAACCCCACTGACCTCCGAATACCCGCCCCAGGACCCCCAAAATCTTTCTGGGATTCTCCATATCACCTTGGGACCACCCCCTAAATTTCTCTGGGACCCTCAAAATTAAACTGTGAACCTCAAATAACCCTCGGGACCGCCCCTTAAACCCCCAAATAACCCTCGGGACCCCCCCAAAAAAACCCTTGGGATGCTCCAAGACCCCCATCTTGACACCCCAAAACCCTTTGGGACCCCCCTCAGACCCCCCTGGGGACCCCCAAATCTCCCCCTGTGTCCCTCTCAGGACCCTCTGGGACCCCAAAATACCCCCTGGGACCCCCAAAACCCCCTCAAACCTCCCCAAATCCCTCCTTCCCCCCCTCTTAGCCCCTTTTGGGGGTCCCTGACCCCCCTTTGCCGTGTCCCCCCACAGGTGACGTCCCTCGGGGGGTCCCCGGTCGCGGCCGTGTGGTCGGAGCGGGGCCAGGTGGAGGTGCTGGCTCTGAGGGGGGCCCTGGGGGCCCTGGGGACGGAATTTGGGGAGGGGGATTTGGGGAGGGGGCCCAAGAGCGTCCAGCAGGGAGCCCTGCCCGCGCTCGCCACCTTCAGCGGCCACATGGACGAGGGGTTCGGGCTGGACTGGAGCCCCCTGAGCCCAGGTGAGGATTTGGGGGAAAACTGGGGGGATTTGGGGTCTGGGGGGTCACAGGGGGATTGGAGACCCCAGAGCCCAGGTGAGGATTTGGGGGAAATTGGGGGGGATTTGGGGTCTGGAGGTCACAGGGGGATTGGAGACCCCAGAGCCCAGGTGAGGATTTGGGGGAAATTGGGGGGGATTTGGGGTCTGGAGGTCACAGGGGGATTGGAGACCCCAGAGCCCAGGTGAGATCGGAA